CGCCATGCCCATCCGGGGCTGGTAGCTCGGGGCTCACCTGGGCCCGCCATGCCCGTCCGGCCCGGCCTCCCTGCCGCCCTCAGCCCCTGCGCCTCTCCCATTCACTCCCTCCTGCTGCTGCAAGAGGTGCCGGGGTTTTTAGCTGCTCTTGTGCTTTCCAGAGTGATTCCCAGGGCACCAGTAACCCTGGCATTAGCTAATGAACCTGGCATTTATGGCAGCTGCAAAATTTAAGGTTTCCCAATCCCCTTCTTTATTTGCTGATTTCTGAAAGAGGTATTTCTTAGCTGCATTTTCTCACTCCATCTTTCTGAGAAATGTGGTATTTGTAACCAATGCCAAAGAAAAGAACCTCCTTTTAGCATCTCTGCTGGATGCAGACATACAGGTATATTTTAACTGAGTACTATGAGCCACTTTCTGATTCCATTTACACCACCATCTACCCAAGTCAGCTAGAGAAATTACTCTGTGCAAAATGAGGTCGGATTTAGGGTCAGTGTGTTCAAGTGCCTTGTTGGAAGAACTGCTTTATTAGAATATCTAATGTCAGTTTCTTGCTTACAAACCAAAGACAAATTTTAGTTAGATGGGAGTGAGAATTTTAAAAGGCAATCTCGAGACATGACCCTGAATTCCCAGAATCCTTCTTATTCTGAAAACCAGTTGCCTTGTAATGAAGAGAAAGGAAGAATTAAAAAAAAAAAAAACCTCAAAGTTGAGGTGCTCTCCTATCAAAGGCTTTACAGGTCTCTGCAGCAGCTGTAGATATAGAATTTCCAAATACTCCTGTGGGGTTGGGTTTTTTTGTTTTGTTTTAAGAGAGTTGTTACAGCAGCTGTGACTATTTTATTACGAAATAAAAAAGTTTCACATTTCAGGATGCTGCCAACTCCTACATGTTACAGGGTTGGTATCTGTAGAGCAAGCAGTGTGATGGTCTAAGCACCCCCCTGTTGCTCCAGCAGCGTGATTGAAGTTAACCTTGTATTATGATACCCAGGGAGGGACAGAGCACAACTCCATTAACAACGAGATGTTCACTAAGTGACGGGGGCAGATGGCAGAACCAATGCAATGAAAATTATTCATTCTTGCATCAAGTAATTCCAGTTTACACAATTCTTGTAAGCCATTATGAGACACAGAAGATATTTTAAGCAGCTCTGTATGCTTGGGATAGATGTATCTCAATATTCCTTTGAGCATTTCTATTGATTGCAGCTAGTAAGGAACTCAATGGCACTTTTCTGCCCATCTGCAGGTCTCTACCCTTTAGCTATGGCACACAATTTAATCCTATCTTTACCCTTTTTTAAATTTTTATTTCTTTAAGTATGAGTCTTATCTGAAATCTATCCCCAGGAATAGCATGAAAGGAAACTGTTGGCACTTCAAGATGATCTACAACATCTCAGTATCTTACACCAGCACATCTAACAGCTGCTTAAACTGGGAGATTAGTGTCAGACAAAAACCTGTGTGTGTCCAGCAAAAATCCTCCAGGTAGCAGAACTGGCCATTCATGCCAAGAGCTGGAGCAGCAGCTGATCCCCACCTCAGTGTTTGCCAGGTCTGCAGGTCAGCCCTGGATCTGGACTAACACTCCTCAACCAAGCAACGAGAGCCCACGCATGCAATGTTTGCTGACGCTGTGGAGAGTGTCAGGATCCATCACTCCCGAAACATGACTAGCAAATACTATCCACAATTCTGTTCAATACTGTACCTTGGTGAAAAGTTAACCCACTCTTTATAAGTGTACCTGAGCTTCTTCCTTGATTCCTTCATACTCCACCCTCATCTTCTTCTGAGCATCTTCATCAACGCTGGGGTCACCTATCCTGTTGAACAAGGAAGCAGCTTCCTCTAGCAGCCTTTCCAGCAGCACCGACTGGTTTAAGACGTCATTCAGCAGAACCTGAGCATGGCTCAGCTGCCACTGCTTTTCCTTCAAGCCAAGCTGCAACTCAATGTCAGGCTCCAAGATCACCCTCATGTTGTGAATCCATATATAAAACTCATCTTGGGCTTTCAGGTACTCACTCCAGTGCAGCCAGACCCACTCAATACGGCTGTGGAGACAGAGAGAGAGATGAAATTATGATGGGATCAGTGGAGGCAGGGAAATTCAAAATGGCTTCAAAGCAAAGGGCCAGGTTTATGGCTGTTTAAGCTGTTCTTTCCAACTTCAGAGGTTGAGGATTAGCTGAGCAGGTCCTTCTGTTCTGCAGGGGAAATACCTTGTACAACCGTGTACCACTATGCCCAGCAAAACTCACCACTGAAGTCCCTAGGAAGGCTATGAAGGGAAGAAGTGCGGAGGCTCTATGGCCTGTCTCTTCCCACAGTCGCCACCTGGACCCGAGTCTGGGAAAGGCAGTGGCTGCTACCTGCATCCCAGGCAGCAGAGGGAGGCAGGAAGCACTTTACGAAAGCAGTGCATGAGATAACTGCTCCACGACATCAAACAGTCCTGTGCAAAGAGCACATTGCCTTACCTGTGGCAGTGAGTAATGTATATGGCTGTCTCTTCCCACAAGGCCTTAATGTCTTTCAGCTTCAATAGTACCTCGTGTTTCTTATCCTCACTAATGCTGCGGAGAGCAGCGTCTGCTTGCACCAGAATCAAGTCCATTTTCAAGCTGCCTTCTAGCTCCAGCTCACGTATTTTCTATTAGGAAAACAAATGACACTGAAAGCATGCAAAGAAAGCAGGCAGGATTCATGACATTCAAACTTTGGGTTTGCCCAGTCCCTGCTGCAAAGCTTCTCTTGAAAAGAAAATACGAACTTTCTTTAGATTTGTTTATTCTAAATTCTAAAGGACTGAATTGACTTGAAAACAAGTAGCATTTAAGAAAAAAAAAAGTTTAAATTAGCTAAAAAAAAACCAAAACAAACAGACAATCCCCTATCAAATGCCTGTTGCTGTGTTTTTGTTACTATTATAAAGTTATTCCACTGTGTTGCAATACGCCAGTCATTAATCTTTTTTCTTCCCAATGAGCACAGAGGCAATTTCCACTTTGACGTCTCAATTTCAAGCTGCACTATAAGAAATCCTGATGCATATTCAAATGGCTTCCTGTTATAAGTAACTTTTGGCTTAGAAAACAAGCCAAAAAAGCTAACTAAGAGAATTTTCTGTCTGTTATCAACTTTTGCTTTAACCCTGAACTGCAACACTATGAGCTGCTGAAGATGTGCATCTTACAGAAATCTGAATATAAGGAACCCAAACTTAAGCCACCTCATTTAATGTAAACTCTCTTCTTGTACCCAGAGATGGAAAAACAACAGACCTTCTATACAATGTTACAGAATAAATTACATCCCAATTTGGATGTCACCTTTCAGCATCACTTCATCCGAATTTGTGATACCATCACACACTCTGTCTCTGTTGTTTCTTCCACAAAGTTTGGGAAAACTGCAGGCTTTTAGGTTTGGAAGAAAAGGCTGCTTGAACGAAAATACTGAGAGGTTCAAAATTAGCAATTACTTTTGGTAAGATTAGGTCCATGGGCCACTTGGCCAAGATGGCCAAGTAAGTTACTGGGAAGATGAGACCAACTCACAGATCTTTGAACACGCAGGTTCACATTTTAGGAAGAGACTGATTTTTTTTTTTTTTTGGCATATATGTGGCATATCTGCATATTACGTATAAACATGTGTTTAGAACAACTACTTTCTATGAAACGAATGATTACAAGAAAAAGAGAGCAAAGGGTAAGACAGAGAAAGGAAATAAAAGCTACATTTACTGACTATCAGAAAAAATCAAAAGTAAATCTGTATTCTAAGCATTTTTCTAGCTTTTTCACTTGAAGTGAAAGCAAACAAGGGCCAAAGAGAAAGCTGTGGTTATACAGCCATTTTTCTATCCCGAAGATTGCTTTTTTAATGACTACTCTCCTTGGCTGGCATTTTCATTAAAACACGAACAAAAAATAAGTCACTGGAACAAAGCATGAAAAAAATGCAAACCAGATGCAAAAAAAATGATCTGAAGAGCGATCACTGGATTAGAAAAGAGCCAAGAAGTGGAGGAAACCAGGCCGACCAGGCAGGCAGGATGAGGGGGCAGGAGGTGGATAAGATCACGCAGAAAGAGAGAAATAGACAGTTCAGAAATTTCTCTTTCTGAAGAAAAACAAATTCCGAATTGAAAAAAAGACTGCCCTTCTTAACCTGTTTTTTGCGTGCTATGGGCCTCCTGAATAGCCCAAAGAAATCAACGGCTGTTGATTCAGGCCATAGGAAACACAACAAACCTCTCTGCAGTAACTCTGCCATCTCTGCCAGGAACACACAGCTTCTGCCAAACTATCACTCTCCCAGCCCAAGTTCCTCTATTTCCTGCGTGTCTTTGGACACTGCACATACCATCATCTCCCAGGCAAAAAGGAAAGGACCTGGATAAGGTAAGAGCAGAAACAAACCCACACTCAAAGAGGACACACTTCAGATTTTCATGACTGATATCCAGGCCTGTCCATCACCCACCCCTCCACGAACAGTCTCTATATGAGGCCAGTGACACGATTCACCCTTCAGCAAATCCCAGGTAAGGAAAACAGAAAGTTGAAGACATCGCTGGATTGTCATGTGAGCCACCTCCCTCCCTCCGTGTAAACTTGTAGGTATTTTAGTTAAACTTGCTCAGAAGGAGGAGTCCAAACAAGAGTAAATCCATTAAAAAAAAAGCTTATGCTAAAGAACAACTGAGAAGATCTGCCTGTTTTATTTAGAGAACAGGCCAGTTAGAACTAAAGGTAGTTACAAAAATAGTTTCAATGTTAATCACAGAAATATCACCACTCCCTCTAATTATGGATAGTAGAGATGGGACAAACAGTAGTATTTCATTTTCTGAGATTATAAAACCAAGATAACATCTAAGGGAACTGAAGTTAAGGAATGTGAAATCACAGCAAGAGAGCAGGCATAACCTGCAAAAGGATCTCTGTGAAAATTGTTATGCAAGGCATTAATATTAATAGAAGAAATGAAAATATTTTCATTTTCCTTTCCTGTAAAGGGGAGATGTAAATCCACTTTATCAATGGCTTTTATGGGAAAGGACCAGTGTGTTACTCTAGAACATCCATTACTGAGACCTACAATCTTTTTCTACCATTGTCAGAGCCAGGGTCCTGCAGGAGGGGGAAACTGAGATGATCTGATTCTCTGCTGCTGTATACCAGACTTTTGCAAACTGCTGTCTGGTACTTGCAAGCTGCAACTCAACCATCGTTTCAGCTCCTGAACATGTTTGTCTGAGAAAGTAAACATTTATTCTGACGAACCATGACTGCTGCTAGACTTTCAAACCTATCTGGAAAGTTTGGAAGCCCATGACAGACAACTGCCTTCTTTTTCTACAATTCCTGTAAATGTTTTGCAGAAGATACACTAGAAAGGAATACTGATGTAGCCCCATCCCACAGGACCAATACTCCAGCAGGAGGGATAGCTGATAGTTTCCTAAAGGAAAACCCCAGGGCTCACAGCAACAAGGGCAGCTCTTCCCAGCGCCGCCGGCTCCGAGCTGCGGCAGCAGCTTCCCTTACCTCGGTCTCTCTCAGCCTGGCTTCTAGGGCAGATCGAGGTCCCTTGGTGTTGTCATTGATCCTCAGCCTCTCCTGAATGGCCTTCATCCAAGCTTCTGCAGTCTCCACGCTACTGGCAAATTCATCCTGGGGCTGCTGAGTCATTGCATTTGAAGAAACTGAAAGGATAAGAAGCAGGGAAGGAAGAAGTTTTTGATCAAGACCTAAACAGGAAAGTATCCAAGGCAATTTAAAGGAGTAAGGAGGAAAAACTAATGGTGCTGTGACTTGTCTAATAGTAATACCAAAAAGCTCACCCCTACAGCGGATTCACACTCCAGCTTTCTCAAATAAAAGTCTACCAGCAAATAAAAAGCGAGCGGGAAATTGTGGGAGGCTCCACTACAATAAACAGATTTAATCCAAAGCCTTCAAATGAGATTAATTTGGTGTTCAGTACCTTCAGGGTGGCTATACAATTTACAAACATATTGCCTCTTCCTAGAGCCTACTCAGCACATGACTCTCTCGAAGCCCTTCCAGGCTCATGTACTGAGCATCTGACCCCAGACTAGCAGAGCATTTAAGCACATGATTAACTTAGAGGTATATAAACCGCTCAAAGGTGGTGAGATGGGGATCGGGTGCATAGACCTTCAGTGAGCTGGTTCTGCAGAGGCCGTGCAGAGGTTGTCTGGACATGTGCAGGGAGTCTGCGGCACGAACACAACGGCACCCGGCCAGCAGCTGCCGGGAGAAACCACTAACAGGCCATCACGTGGAAAGAGCTGCCAACACTTACAAATTAATTCTTCTGCCAACACTTGCATTCTGTATCATGCTCTTCTCCAACGCAAAGAAGTTTGTTTTGTCTCTTCCCTTCCCTTTCCTCTCATTGCCCCTGCCCCACTGCTAGCACAGACACGACAGTTCCTTGCACTCTCGTGTCCTGTCTCTGGGCCACCCTGTGCCAGGCCTTGGGCACTGCCATACTTAACGTGATTAATAGGGATAAATCATAATAAAGTAGGTCAGCTCCACTGAAGTGAACAGAAAGACAGCCACTGACATAAATGGTTTTGGATCAGATCCTACAGCTACTGCCAGCCAAGCAACCGGTGTTTCTTGTAAATTATTATTCCTCTTTGTTATTTGTCACGTAAATCTTTCTCAACACCAAGTTTTAGAGTTAATTACTGAACCGAAGTTCAGCCCTGTACCAGCCCCTCACTTTCCCCGAGACACTTCATGCGGCAGAAACCACTCGGTGTGAGAGGCACAGCGTGGCCCTGGATGAAGAGGGGCCAGTGGGGTTTTGGAACCAGCTGAACCTCTCGGTCACCAAGCCGTCACCAGGAGAGGACAGCAGACATCCTGCCCTTGCCCGCTGCCAGAAAGCTTCCCACCATCCGCTGACGGTCCTCTCCGTGTGCTGCAGGACCCAAGACATTTGTATTCACAGCATTGACAACTGGCAGCAGAGATGGCCTCAGCTGCTGCTTCCAGCCTCCTGCAGGGTTTATGCTCAACAGGTGCCTGTGCAGGGCGAGCAAACTGCATCTGCAGCGTCCACTGCCCTGGTCACAGCGACTACTAGAAGGAACAGAATGGGTTAAGCCTCAACGGACAGAAAAGTAGAGCTGCATTTACGTGGAAGAGGGAATTATTCTGTAATTAGGAGACATGAGAAGAGGCAAAATCCACAGATGTAACTCTCGGAGCTAGAGGGCAGTTATAAAAAAACTGACCTCGCCTTGAAATGATTAAAGCTCAGAACAGGATGCACTGGATTTAGTGAGGGTGGCGCAGAACAGGGCAGTTACACCCTCTGCCAGATATAAAAGTATGATAGGATATATAATTAAAGCTAAAATCATTGACTTACATATCAGGAGTCGTGAGGATGAAGCTGCCTAATTGAGTAGTGTTATTTTCAGCGGCTTGACAGGTAGTTGCATCTTTCTCCAAAAATGACTGGTCTACAGCTGAGGTGTCTGAATTATAATATCTAACTCTCATCAAAGATCTCCCGCCTCAGCAGCTGGCTGATCAGCTCATTTCACAGCTCCTTGTCCCCTGCCCTTAATTTATACTACCTGGGCAAGCAGCCTCTAAATGCACGAGTGTAAGCTGTGGCGATTCCTGTTACTACAGTGAAACAAAAACTCACTGCAGACTTTCCAGACAGACTCTGATGAGCAGTGACATTCATTTCCTAGGAGAGGTTTCTATTCCTGGAAACATCCATATCATAGTTAAAATTGGCTTCAGGACTGCAGTCAGAGAGGAGCCAGAGGAGAGCGTCACGTTACCCAGCCCCTCCTGGTACAAAACGCGGAGGACTCGAACGTGGCTGAGAAGCACAGGACGATCTAGAGCACGAGGAAAGCCCCGCGCGCTCTCCCCTCTCACGTCTGCCCTCCTTCTGCCCGGCGAACACAGCGATGCCCATCCTCATCCCACACACAGACCTGCCGCTTCTGCAGCCCACGCAAAAGGCCATGGAAGTGGTTATTTCAATACTGAGGCCAGAATTTTGCAAAGAAAAAGAAACTTGTTTTCCCCAACTGCCTGCCTAATATCCCTTACTGATTTTGACCAATTCCAACATCCAGAGCCACAGAACAATTAAATTTAGCACGAGCTCTGACTCAACCCCCAGGTGGATTCCATGGCACTTACGGTCTAAAATACCCAGTATGTAGCTGGGCTGCCTTGGGCCCTCCTTCCTACACAGTCAGACCCCACCCAAAGCATTTAATTGAAATGTCCTGGAGACTTTTGCTCCGGAACCCCCTTTCTCTTCCCAGGCGTTTAAAAGGTTGATATCACAGGTTGATATTTGTGTGGCAGGGGAAAGAAAATATGTTTTCTGACTTATTGTCTACTTGGGAAGAAAAACAGCTGATGACAACAGTTGTTTGGCAACATCTTGATTTTCTTTTTGCAAAAGCCTCTAAAGCTGGGATGATGCCTAGAGAAATGTTTCTTATGAACCAGTAGCATTTCCCCCACTTTTGTCACTAGGGCTGTAGGATTGAGCAATATTTCTGGAGCTGAAATACAGAGCTCTACATAGCATAAGAAACATAAAGGAGAAATAGCAGCTCCTGAGTCAGACAGAGCTGTTTAGCTGTGTGAAGGCAACATTCATAGACCCGCCTGAAGCACCCGTGCACTGGGAGGGCTACTGGTACCACGGTGAAATAGCCTCTGTCCCAGTCACAGTCGCTAGGATCCACTGTGCCAAGGAAACCTTGGCTAAAAAACACATAGATGCAACACGGAGCAATTTGTACAAATAAACCCACACTTTTCATTTTTATTGTAGTCATTTTCAAATGAATGTAGCTGTTTAAACAGCCTCTTGTCATTTTAATGCCACGTGAATTAGTTTATTAATTCATACCGCAGAAGGGATGTTGACACTGCAGAAAGCTTTTAAAGCCTGTACACATCTATTACTAAATGGCATAAATAACGAGTCACTGCGCAAGGACGAAATCTGTTTCCCCAATGCAATGATGCAGTCACTTAGCAGAAGCAAGAAAGAAGCCTAGTTTGAGGTGCATGCAGCTCAACTACCACGGGTGGGATGTCCACAGCTTAGACAGAGGGACAAAGCAACTCCCATGGCAGCAGATACCTCCCTCCAGCCAGTGTCACTGCTCCCCTCGCTTCTGTGCAGCCACGCAGCCGTTTCCTGAGGAGCAGGTCAGACAGCTGCTCCCAAACGGCCTTCTCTGGGGATCTTCACAACCCACCTGGATGCCACCCTGTGCCACGTGCTCTAGGTGTCCCTCTGGAGCAGGGGGGTTGGACTAGATGATCTCTAGAGGCCCCTTCCAACCTCAACCCTTCCGTGATTCTGCGAGGAGCAGGGGGCTGGCAGGGGGCTGGGGACACGCTCGCCGCCCCACGAGCAGCTCAGCGGCAGGGGGAGGCCGGCTAAACCCGGCGCCGCCGCAAGGCAGCAGGGACAGGCAGGGACGCTCTGCAGGGCAGGCCCCGAACGGCGCAAGGTCCTGAGCATCCAGCATACGAGGCGGCCAGCAACCAAAACCTCGGAGCACCCCTTCCTTAACTACACCTGCTTCAGCTGTCCTCCTACTGCAGCAAATAACCCTCACCAGGGGCTTACTTATTTTGTGAGGTTTGCTTGTTTAATATGTGCTAAGTACTACTGAGAGCTTTTAAAGTTATTGCAAAAGCAGAGTGTCTTTTTGGTAGGATTTTCCTATTGCTTTGCAATGTTTCCTAATGGAGTTTTCTTCTCTCCACCAAGTCATGATGCTTTCCCCTGCTTAAGGCATTTCTCACGACCTCTCCCATTTTAAACATTCTTTTAAACCCTACACTTATAGAACACAGGCTTCTAAATGGTTTCAATATGTCGTGGAATCCTATGTTCATGTACTACTTGAGTAGCTTCCAGAACACAGTTCTTACAAAAATAAAGAATAAAAACAAAACTGCTCCAGGAAATTCATATCACTCACCGTTAGGGAGACCGTTTTCCCGTTACTGAAAGACTTCAAACTTTTTATAAGCCTTTCCATTTGGTAGAAATCAAAGTTCCAGGATTGCATGTGAGAAAGATTATAAAAAACACTGGAGTGTGTCAAATTTTATACAAATGCACGAGTGTGGAAGCAATTGTGGTTCTGGGAATTGTCTAGTTCCTGGAGTAGTTTAATAACTTTTCAGCTGCCCTGGATATCATAAGAAGAAGGGGAGGAGTTGGAAGCTCCGATTGGACTGTTCCTGGCTGGAGTGCAGGGTCAATCCTTGCCACGGATCCCATCCGAGAGGCTCAGCTCTGATCTCTGGCTTTCTGACGCCGGCCCATGCCAGGAGAAGCTGTTCCGAATCACCAGTACGCTTGTACTGCCAGCCAAGGGACCAAAAGCTTCCCGGGGAGCCACAGCCACAGGTGGAGCACGCAACTAGATGGGAAACCCTCGAGATGGCACACAGAATGTTTTGCTATTTCCAGAATAACCTTTTAGAGGCTCAAAACATTAATCCTGGCTGTCTTCCAGGACAGTGATCTGAAGTGACTTTTTACGTCTGTGATTACTTGTTCTAATCAAACAGAGAGAGAATAATATTTTTTGGAATAATCACATCCAAATCCTAGTTATGAGTATCTCCTTCAACCAAGGAAAAGTGTCATCAT